AGTCAACTTTCACTTGCCTGGGTGCCATCTCTGTGGAGCCCAATGTGCTGCAACTGACAACTTCTTTATCAATTAACACAACCATTCATTTTGGTTTTGTAGCGCTGGTGGTACCCAAGACCCCTTGATCCCCCAGCCCCACCTGGAATGGGGGTGTTATATGGCTTTCCCTGTGTTGCTATCATTCTGCATGCTGCACGAGTGCCCTTATATACATGTATATATTCCTTTAGCTAACCCTTACGAGTGGTTCACCTGGGAGACAGTTGTCACTGCTATAGCCCAGCGCCGCTGGTTTTGTTTTTTGGGTTTGTGTTTGTTTGGTTTTTTGTCTCTCTAAGACATGGTCTGTCTATGCAGTTTAGGCTGGCCTTGAACTCACTTTGTTGCCCAGACTACTCGAATTTACAAGGATCTTCCTCCCCTAGCTTCCTGAGTGTTGGGATTAGGGACCTGTGCCACCACACTTGGCTGTCCTTTTGTTGACTGGAAACACTGGGGCTTCATCATGGTTTTTGTTGTTTTGCTCCTTGCAGTGAGGGGGGACGCACGCCAGGGGGAGCCATGAGGCTGTGCCGCAAGAGGGTTCTTTGGCCGCATCACACAGGGGTTTGGACCTGGATTGAATGGTTCAGGGGAGGTTAATGACACAATCTGTTGCTTCATATTGGATGCTGTTGGTGAGGAGTGGGAACAATTCTAAGACCAGCCTCTCCGTGAGTCTACTGAGATCACACGTAGTCAGGGTAAGGCTGCAGTGGTCAGGGAACTAAGGCTTGGCCCTTTCTTGATTTTATGATGGTCACGGTCTGTCTGTGTTTATACCTGCTCATGGAGCAGTCTCGCTTTGTTTGATCCACCACAGTCCTAGTGCCCTGGCCAGTGCCTGTGTTCTATGACTATGTGTGGTCAAGACCCAACTGTGAATTCCCCACCAGTTCCTGAATTTCATATGCTGTCTTGTTCTTTTTCAAAGGATGTGCACTCTCCCTGCCAAGAGCCCAGCTGATCCCTTGAAGAGCTGAACTTTCGTTGGTGCTGGGGATGGAGCCCAGGGTCTCCTGTATGCTGGGCATATGCTCTTCCTGAGCTACGGCCCCAGCCCAGATGCACACATGTTTTTAAATTTGGGAAGCCCACTGCCAGATGCTGTGCCCATAGATAGCCTCTCTCTCCCTCAGGGTCAAATTCCCTTTGAGTTTGGTGAATCGCCCCTTAGCCTCCTCTCTGCCTGTCAGCTCACTTCTTTGCTCAGCGACCTCACTACCCTAGCATGGCCAGGACTGCAGCTGTGTCCCTCATCTTTGGTTAGCGCGCTTCACTCTGGATACTGAGTGCTTTGTTTTCCATTCATGTGATTCACCCTGGAAGCCTTTAAGGACTGTGTCAAGGTGAACTAGCAGTGTGAGATGTGCACAAGGGAAAGTCAGGACATAGATGACCACAGTCCCCTTCACTTCACAGGGTGACTTGGCAGAAGTGGGAAGGAAAGCCCACTGCCAGCACCTGCCCGTGGTGAGGGCCTAGTCTCTTAAGATCTCAGCTCTGCCACTCTAGCTGTGTGATCTGAGTAGGCTGTCTAACCTCTCTGGGCCCAAGCACTCATGTCTCTGCTTTCCGGCAGTGCTGCTGGGCGAAGGGCCCAGCCCCCAGATCCTTCTGGGCTGAGAGCAGCCTCTTTTCTTTCTACTCTTCCTTTGTAGCACACTGAGGGTTATTTTTAGTTCCTTGCCAGGTAATTAACTCATCAGTCTCCCATTGTTCATGGCCAGCTTTGGGAGGTCTATTTATTCTTTGGTCTGGCCTATGTTTGCCTGTTTCTTCATGTGACCTTTTCTTTTTCTTTGTTTGGTGTTTGTTCATCCAAGCAGCCATTTCTCCCAGTCTTTACATACCAGCTTTGTGCAGAGAAAACCTCTACCAGTGGGCCTGGTTAATGACTGTGGGGGCCTCACGAATCTTTTCTGGGGATGTGCCTACTCTGGGTGTAAGCATGGAATTTCTCAATTAGACAGGGTTCCCAGGTCTTTTCAGAGCTTACATTTTCAGGGCAGATAAAAACCATTCCCTGCTGCCTATATGCAGCTGTACTGGTGCCACAACAAAATACTGAGCTCTCTTTTTTCCCAGTGAGCTCTAGGGATCCAAAACATGCCGATTTTTCACCAGTGCTCTGAGTCAGGTGAGACAAATCAGTTTCTTGGGCGTACCCGACAGCTGGAATGTTGGATGTGCATTCCACCCTTCTTTCTTCCCATGGGCTGGTCCCGGCAGGTTGGGCCACTGTGCTTGTTGAGTGCCTCCAGGAAAACATGCTAGAGCTATTCCCATCTCTGTGTATGTCTTATCAACTTCGGCTTCTATCTCAGCTCCTGAGAGCTCTGTGAGGTAGGATGTGCTGAAGACCCGGAGTGTGGGTTGAAGGCTCTGGATCCTTGAGCTCACACACTGCAGAAACATGGGTTCAATCGAGGCCAGGGCTTCTGCTTAAGGGACAGTGGGGTCTGACGCCTGGGATGCTTCCCCATCATGGCCACTAGAGGGAGCCTAAGGCCTACTTCTCAGCAGATTGCTGCCTAAGTGATACCCAGATAGTTGATGGTCCAGGGTAATAAATGCATTTCAGATTTTTAAATGAACTCTTAGATGAGGGCCTATGTTCCAGGGGCAGTTATTTGAGGAATCTGGGGAATGAAGAAGGAGAAGCATAGAGAGCAGATCTATCTACTTGTGTACAGACTTCTGCTGAGGTACCTACACACACATACACAGACCATGGTCTTGGCACTGGGCTGGGGGAAGCAACAAAGCAGATTCAATAAAGGAGAGTGGAGTGCACTAATGTCTGGGGAAAGCAGAGACTCAAGATGAGTGTGCATACGTCTCTGTGGTTATCTGTGCGGGCTTCTGTCCCTCCTGCAAAGCACAGCCTGATTGCAGGGCCTGCACCTCCAGCCACTGATGCTTAACACAAGGCTGTCTAACCACTGTCTGTCTCCACATCCCAAAGCACAGCATCACCATTAAGTATCACTCTTAGGAATGTGGGTGAAAATCTATGCAATGCAGCATTCAGTGAACAACCTGGTGAAAAAATAATTAAAAACTCATTTAAATATGTGTGTGTACAAAATATTGATTTACTATTAAAGATAATTAACTTTGGTCTCAGAACACAAAATCATTTTTGTTGTCAAAATAGTTTGCCTCTGAATTTGTGCCTATAAATATATTATGTTTTTAGAAAGAAAAAAAATCCAACAATTCTTTTCACATGTGAGAGAGGACACACAACCTGGCTCAGGAGGACAGGCTTTGGCTCTGGTTCTGCAGCTTCTGTGGCCCCAGCAGCAGCAGGTGGGAGGCTGCTTCCTGCCTGGTTGTATTCAAATGTCAGGGGAGGGTGAGCAGACCCTGAACCAGCGGTTCTAATCCCCTTCCATAAAACAAAGGCAGTGTTTCTGGCTCCTTGCTCCTGTTCCTCTCGCTCCTGTTCTCTCCCCAGCACACCCTTCCCCATGTCTGCTGATCTCTCCCCATTGGTGGCTTCCTTTGGACTCTCCCCAGATCTGACTGTGGACCAAAAGCATCAACTTCTACTAAGCACAAAACCCTAAGCATCAGCTGCTTTCCAGCTGATCAGAAGTCACTAAGGTCACCCCGTAGTGAATGTTCCCATTGTTCACTAACTCCAAATCCAGTGTATAACCAGAGACATTGCTCTGAATCAGAATGCACCCTTAGGGGCTGCTTGAGCTGTCAAAGATTCTCCTAACACAAGCATACAGGAATGTAGTCAAAGGTGAGGACACTACAGTTGGAGGCAAATAGCCGACCATAACAGACCTATATATACATGCATGAGTGGGCATATGTGCACAGCAAAGCCCATCCATATGCAAAGGCAGAGTGGTGGCATCCAGTTAATCAATTCTGGAGACATTTGCTGAGCATTTCCTAAGGGCCAACTTTGGCTTCCAGGATTTTGGCATGCAGAGATGGATGGGTAAGTCACTCCCAAACCCTCCTGCAGGAACCAGCTGCTCTGCACAGAGAGTATGGCATCAGGAGGGGCAAGAGAATAAGATTTGGGGACTGAAGAAGGTGGTAAATTCAAAATATCTTGCAAATCTCTAATACCTCTATACAGTGTTTCATATTTTCCAGAACACAGTCACAGGTAGACAGAGAAGCCGCCTTCCTGCACTATTTTGCAGTTTATTTGACTTGAGAGAGACTATGAAGAGCCCAGGAAATCCAGTCCTGGGGTTCCATGAGCTGCCTAATTTCATATTCCTGTCCCTATGACTCAGCTTCTCTGCAAGCCCTAGAGCAGCGATCCCAGCTTTTGATGAACCAGGAGTCCTGGTGGTCATGACTGATATGACTACCACCTCCGCATTCTCGAGTTTGGAGCCTACGCTTTGCAGATGAAGTTATTCAGCACACTAGACGGTTCCACCCTGGCCCCTGGCATGGAGCCTCTTGTCCTTGTCTTTCTGAGGCAGCTGTTAAGTTTCAGGGACAGCAGGTTAAAAATCACCCATCAACTAATGCATGTAAAAATCACCCATCAACTAATGCTTAAGTAAAACTTGATTTTTATTTCAAATGTATTTTTGAAAACATTCTGGAAACTGAAACTAGACATAAAATATCTTCAAATGCTGGAGCTAGGAGGGCTCTGAGAACATTCCACTCTAGTCTCCCAGCTGAGCTGTGAGATTCACGAGGCTGATCTTCATGGAGACCCTTGCAGAAGTGGCCCGGACACTGAAAGGGAACATGGCACTCCGAGGAATGGCCCTGCCTCTGTGGAGGGAGATGAGGAGGAAGTGTGAGCCACCTAGTTGGTCTTTGTGAGAGCCTGTGGCTCACAGGCTGGCCTGTGCTCACCCTCGGGGGAGGCTATAGCCTCTCTGAATCAGAGACCCGGAACTGTTCTGCTGAAGCCAGAATCTGGAACAGGAAGTGCTCAGAATCTTCCCTGCTGTTTCCAAGGTACCCACAACAGCCCTTGGAAACCAAAGGCAAGAGCCCCACCAAAGCACCTTGGAAGATAAGGAAAAAAAGGTGAGCCCCAGATGTCGTGAGAGCTTTCAGGACTCAGGCTCAGAAAGTGGCCAGCCGCCAGCTCTCCTGTAATTCAGAGACCAGCACATTGAGTGTCTTTCCATTCCCACACTCCCACGTGGGCAATAGAGCTTCAGAACTCCGAATAGGACTGGTTCCTTTCATCTACTAGCAAGAGCAAGAGGGGCATCTAGTGACAAGTACTGCTTGGATTTGCCTCCTTCAAGTTGGCTGGCAGAGAGGAGACTCAGGACTCCTGGTAGGAGGGCAGGGATGTCTGGGAGCTGAGAGACCATCACAAGCAGCTCCTGTCCACTCAGGGAGACTGAGGAAGTGACTGTTAATACTCACTCGCCTGCTGGGTTGAAGCAAGAACAAATCCACTTCCAGGTTACTAAGATACTCTGGATTTCAAGATCAGCAATTAAAGCTCTTGGGTACCAGGTCAAAGGAAGCAAGAAATGGAATAACTTCAGGGTGAACCCGGCTTCCTTCTCTCTACTGAGATGAATCCCACAGGCATGGGGAAGTGTTGGTTGGTGCTGGGTGCGCTTTGTTCTGTGCTTACCAGGTCTGTGTTAGATCTGAGCACTCTTCCCTCTTCTCAGATTCCTCAGCCATGTCGAGGTTTTGAGAGTTTGATTCCAAAGCAATGGGAAGCTGGGGAAGGGTTCTAAACTGGGGGGTTGAAGACCACTCTGAGTCCTAAGTGGAAAAGTGGTCAGAGAAGCCGCTGTGTATTCCCTGGGGGTGGGAGAAGCCTCCTCATGCAGGGTGGAAATCCAGCCATGAAAGAAATAAGGGTGAACCCAGAGCTTCATGCATGCTAAGCAGGTGCTCAGCTACTGAGCCCCATCCCACCCGGGCTGATTTGACATGCAAGTTTTAAAATTAGAGGTGGCCAAAGCAAGTACACATTCAACATTTCCATGCCCAATGAATAATTTGTATAATAAAAACAACGTGAAAAAATGCTCTACTGGGGAGAATTTTCATAGCACGTATGGCAGACAAAAGTTCAGTGTTCCTAGAACTGTACATAAAGAGCTCCTAGAACTGCAGAGGAAACTGCGGCTGCCCAGTGGAAGATAGGAAAAGGTCATGAAGAGGCGTCTTGCAGAAAAAAATCAAAAGTCAAAAAAATACTTTAAAATGCTCAACCTTATTGGTGGCTATGGAGGTTAAATTAAAATAACAATCTGAAACCATCTATCCTTTACCCGATTGGCAAAAATACATGAGATGGTAGTGCCTATCATATGAGATTATATGAGAAAAACACCTAAATATTGCTGCTGGGGGCTGAGAATATAGCTCAGTGGCACAGCACCTGCCTGGCAAGCACAAGGTCCTAAGTCTGTTATCAAAAAATAAAAAATAAAAAAAAATCGCTGCTGGGGTTGGGAATGTAGCTCAGTGGTAATGTTTGCCTAGCATATACAAGGGCCTGAGTTTGATCCTCAACAGTGGAAAACATAATCAGTGCAAACTGCTGTCACTTTTGGGAAAGTGAGGTAGCATTGTGTATTTTAACTAAATATTTATATTTCGGGCATGATCCCACGTTGAAGAATAAAAGTAGTAACATACAAAGACACACACACACACACACACACACAGAGAGAGAGAGAGAGAGAGAGAGAGAGAGAGAGAGAGAGAGAGAGGTAATACAGATATAGGCTGCATACTCACACATAAACAATATTCAAACTGCCTTAATAATGTGTGTGTTTGTGTATTGCGTGTTGTCTGTAAGAGTAAAACACAACGAATAATCCAAATGACTATAGAAAGTCTAATAGACAGTGATACTTTTCAGTTTCTTCTTTACCTATCTTTGCACTGGTTCGCTTGTAATGAGTCTATATAAATTACTTTTGCAGTTTAAAAAAATCTATTTAATTTAAAAAGAGAAGAAACTCCTATTTTCCCAGGCATAATTAAAATTCTGTAAGGCAGGGGTCATGTGCATTTTGCTCACTATCCTAGCTCAGAAATGAGTAATCCTCCTTTGCCTGTGGCAATGAACCACCTCCCCACTGCGCTGTGGCTAGAATGCAGTGAGCCACTATTCAGGGAGCAAGAGCAGGAGGCAATTGAGATATTTGATCAAGTGCCTGCCATGGACTTCTGCTGGTTTACCTGCTCACCCACTTCCCCTTGTCTTCCTCAGTGCTGCTCCGGGGACCCACCCAGCCTGCATTGCACAGAGTCTTTGGGAGAGTTAATCAGATGTCTGCTAAGTGAGGCCAGAGGGGTTCACTTGTGAAGAATTTGACTTGTGCAAACCACACAAACACTGAATGTAGGGGAGCTGTTTCCTCTTAGAAGCAGTGTATGGCACAGCTGGTGCTTGCAGTAGATCCCAGAAGTAACCCCTGCCCTTCCCCAAAAAGAGTTCTCCAGATCTCCCTAAGGTTCTGTGATCATCCTCTTCCCATCAGCATCTTCCAATCAATCCCACCTTACCCCATGTACATAATATGTTTGGCATATTATTACTCAGATTTCTATCCATTATTTACAATCATATTGCCCTAGATTTGTTCATAAACAGCTAGAAAGTCCTTCTGTTGATTCTCTTTCTAGGCCTTGTAGGCCACAAGTCCACTGAGTCCAGAATGAGTTTGGCCTGCACCTGTTGTTTGAACCTAATTAAAAACGTTGATTTTAGACCAATCTCCTCCATAGTATCGTGAGGAAATTTTTCAGATATTTATTGAACATTTCATCATCTTTCACTCTTTTGTCTTACAGGTTGTCATCTTTTTCCTATCGTGTAATCTCCACTGTTTATGAAAGTGCTGAGCATGGTAAGTTGTCAGCTTTTCAGGAAGGCAGGCCATGGAGAGGATGGGCTTTGGATTGCAGTGGCTTGGCTTAGTTTCCACAGGGGACTGGAACCTGAACCACTGAGGACTTCAAGCTTATTAGCTGACTCTGCTGGAAGGAGCGGAGACCTCTAGAGTTACCTGTATCTGTATAGACAGTTAGCTGTATCTGTACACCAGGAAGTGCGTTCAGGAAACAGAGAGCAGCCCCACTGCCTCACTCTCCAGCAGGGCTACATCTAGACTCCGATTCCAGTTTTCAGTCACTCATTATACTGTGGGCAATACCCTCCGGAATTTCCCCAGACTTTATTACATCCTTTTAACAACTCTAAAAGCAAAATGCTGCCTTCACCACCACCATCAACATCAACATCATTGTCACCATCAAAATCACCATCACCACCACAACCATCACTATCACCATCATGATCTTTACCATAATTCCCATTTTACATGAGGACTGACTCAGATGGGTAAATGACTTTGTGAAACCAAAGTTTCACAAGTGGTTAAATTACAATAACAAGATTTGAACTTGGATCCTCTCTTCTATAGCCTATGGTTGCCCTCTCACTCTATTGGTGCCTGAATGACTTAGAGTTGATTGCTTACATTCTTGTGGATCTCTCGAGGTGATTTTTTTCCTTGCTGGATTTCTTGGAGCTATCAATATAGGTTTTATAACCATACTGGGTATTGTCCTGCTCCCTTAGCAAAGTTGCTGAAGTTCTTTTGAGGCCTCAAGAAAATTTCCAAGTAAAAATCTCTTCCCAGGGACACAGTAGTTCCGCTCCTGGGCATATAACAAAAAGATTTGGAAGACAAGCATTCAAGAAGTTGCAGAGATACATGACTAATCATAGTAGAATTATTCACAATAACTGGGAGGTAGACACAACCCAAGTGTATCAGCTGATGAAGAGATAAAGTGTGGTATGTCTACACAGAGCAAATTATTCTGCTTTTCAAAGGAATGAAATACTGTTGCATAGAGGAACACAGGAAGGATTACACTAAGTGAAAGAAGCGAGGCACAAGAGGCCACATAGTATGTAATTGGGCTTATATACAATATCCAAGCAAATCTGTAGTCAGGAGACAGATTAGTGGTTTCTAAGAGATGAGGGGAGAAGGAAGCCGCACAATAGCTTAATGGACACAGGGTTTCTGTTTGGGATAATGAGAATGTTCTGAACTAGATGGTGATGATGGTTGCATAACATTATAAATAAACTAACCACCGCTACTAACTAGTACATTGTGATAGGAATACATTGGTGAGCTGTACATTTTGTGTATCTTACCAAAAAAGCCCCTACCAAAGATCTCTGCAATATAGAATCTCTGAATGACATGAGAAGTTTTTAAAGAACAGTACTTGAGGAATAATATTGCTTCTGGACTCTTTGGAGCTACCTGCAAAAAAGCAATTTCCCTCCTGAAACTTTGTCCTTTGTTACTTTCTGTCCTAGATTCTAAATTCTAAATGACCTTGAAGCTTGACATCCATAGTGTATGAAACATGGTATCCTTATCTGGAGAAGATACTCATGAGACATGTTAGCCATATTTAAAAATTAACCAGCAATTTAAAGTTTCCTCGATTTCCTTTCTGCTGTGCAATTTGAAAATCTGACATCTATGTGAAGTCAAAAGATTTTTTTCTCTTCCTTTGAAAACCAAACAGCACAAGAGTCGACTGGAGCGCCGGATTGTGGGCCTCACCAACCGGTGGCGTTTCCCCAAAGAGCCTTTCTCTGGGGACCTGCTGGCACTTTCCCAGATGTGCAAGGCTTTGAGCATAGACCTTGATGATGCTCTAAAACATCCAGACAGGTAGGGAGACTCCAAAGCCTATGGTAGAGAATGGCCCATCCAGGTGAACTGTATTCCTGGGAAGGAGGGAGAGAGGGATGGACAGGTTCTGATGGGACTACTCCAGCTTAATGGAGGGGCTGTCACTGCCAGGATCCTTCCCTCTGAGACCAACCTTAGGCATAGGTGGGGTCAAAAAGAGAACATTACTTCTGAGCATGTCTGTGGGTTGTCACTAGGGCAGAGAGAATCTAACAATTTTTTCCTGGTTTTTCTTTTATATTAGGGACTTGAGACCCTCATGGGTTTCTAAATTTATCATCCAGAGACCAAATCACTTTTTGACAAAACTTAGTGGATAAGTGTTTGGACACCTCTTACAAATGCCCATTTCTGCCAAATCAAAGGATCCTCCTCAGTCTTGCAGTATCCTTCCCAGCAAGCTAGACCATCACTTTTCCACATTATTTCTTTCTTACCTGTCCTGGGGAACACAGAGCTGGATCCTTTTGCAGAAGGTATTTATTTCTCTGCCACTATGTTGCTGCCCTCTTGGCTGGCGTGTCGGTCCCACGAGCTCATGGTCAAGCCTACGTGGGTATGGGTTGCCCCCTGGGCAGTGTCTGGCCTGGAAGAGCTGCTCACTCTGTGTCTGCGGAGGGAGTGGCCATCTCTTCCTTCCCAGACCTGCTGCCCGCCATGCTCCATTGTCCAGTTCCTTAGCATCAGGCCGAGTGAGGAAGCTGGAACTGGATCTGGTCCTCGTGAGTAGAGGCAAAGTGATCCAGAAAACTGAGGAGAGGGGCTGAGGACTGTGGTAGCTGGTACTGGACATGAGGACCGTTAAAAGCAGTCTACCAGGTGGAGCTGGCATCCCTCCCTGTCTTTCCACTTGCTAGTTCTGTGACCTTTGTACAGTAGTTAAATCTTTGAATCTCAGTTTTCTCAACTGTGAAATAATTTTAATAGTACCTCCCTTGAAGAGTCGTCTTGTTCATTGAAAATGCTCAGCATTACTTTTCACAAACTTGTTCAATAAAAAAGCCATCATCTTTGCAGCCTGAGCAGCAGGCTTAATGAATGATCCTAATTTCACTTCAGGATGTATTAGCCCAGTCCTCTGCCAGCCCAAAGCCCCACACTTTTCTGGGCCTCTTAGTGCCTTCCCTAATCAAAGTACCTTGCCTGCAGCACCACAAAAGCTGGGGAACTGGTCTGGACATTAGAAGAAGCTTTACAAATCCGCCTCTTATTTGTGATGCTGCGGAACAGGGCAACAGATACCAGAACGCCCTAGTCCTGCTGCTTGCTCTGTACCTGGTAGAGCTGTTAGGTTCAGTAGCACTGAACAGTTCAGCTCTACCCCTAAACCCTCCCTTCCCCTGCCTCCTTGTGACAGTGGGCTATCCTTAGCATGTGCTGATTGTGGAGGGTTCAGAGGCAATATGGCAAAGCGTTTTCTGAACTTCCTGCCACATCATGTCCTCCAACACGGCATTAGCCAAGGCAAGTCACATGGCCAGTCACAAGGCCCAGGGGTGGAAAATATTCTCCAGCTCTCTTTTGAGAGACTTTGCAGCCTAGATAAAAGGTGTAGACACAGAGGCTGGGGGTGAAGAATTCGGGCCAGTGATGCAGTATGCCACAGTGAGGGGAGCAGGTTTTTAATAAAGATTGTAGTTCTTTGTCTTCGCTATAGGAATTTATTCCATTTGATTGTGGGAAACTTCCTGGAGAATACAATAAAGATTCCATTTGTTTTGTATTTATTATTATATTAAAAGGTAAGTTATTTATTTAAGGCAATACAATAAAGAACTATCACTGGTAATACTTTGCACTTCCAAACATCTGGCAACTGACAGATGTCAGCCCCAAGTTCAGTGGTGGTCCGGAATTGTACCATGCAACACACACAAGTTCCCCAGAGCACCTATGGTTCTTTGCCTACCTCCATCTTGCAAGCCTTGTTCTTGTCACTGATGCTCTAATTATTGCTTCTCTCACTTGGGGGCACTGTCTGCTTTGGCTGGAGTTAGAACAATCCGGTTTACTAGTTAGTGAAGGCTCTTTCACAGTGGAAAGTCTGTTATCATGGCATATGCAGATCAATGCCCTGGTTGTTGCCCATCTGGCCACCACGTCTTATGTCTGTGGGCCTCCACGCCACAGCAAGCTCTTAGGCCATTCACTCAGCCACACAACATAGGCATCTGCAGGTTGTGACCCTCCTAGTGCTGCTCTCCCTCAGTGAGGAAAAGCTGACTTCTTTTCAAACAATCTTATCTTCTGCTGCCTTTGTTTCTGTAGCTATATGTAAGCCATGCTGTTTTGTTAGGGCTGCCATGACAATTATATGACATAACTGTAGAAGGGACTCAGAACATTGTCAGGTTCAAATAAACATGTGTCAAATACTCTCCGGGGTTGTCTGGCATATGTCAATGCACAATTTCACCTGAACCCGAAGATCCAGCAAAAGAGGCACACTGCTCAGCAGTGGCCAAAGGAAGGACAACTCCCACTGATGCTCTAGGTTGCAGTGCTGGGATACAGCTTGGAGCCCCTTGCTCCCCAGCTATTGAACCTATTTCCTTTCATCCTGCCTGCAATGTCAAGTCCATTCTGGAGGTGGGATGTGGCCATGCAGAGAAGTGAAGATGCTCAGGTCGGATCCCCAGATTTTTTACCAAGAGAAGTTCCAGAAGAGCTGGACTGAGCAAACAAGAAAGCAAACACTGGTCAAATGTACAGTAGGTGCAAGGCATCTCAGACAGTCACCCTTCTATTCTACCCAATCACCTCTCCTTACGGGGGAAAGGCTGAGATCAGAAGGCTCGCCCTAGGTCACCGGAGAGAAAACAGAAGAAGTGGGGTCCAGTTGCAGGTGCGTGTGATTCTTCCATTAATCAGATTAGAGTTTTATGTGTTCCAAGTATCAAACCAAAAGACCTGTGTGTCGCTTGCTGGAGGACTGCCCTTCATACACGAGGAACTTGTAGAGTTCTTTTTCCTTCTTCCTTTCTCTATCATGGTCATGACTTGAGAGAAGAAGCTCTGAGCTGAAAAGCACATTTTCAGTATCCTCACTACCACACTGTTACAGGCTATTTAGTGCCCTAAAGAACAGAGAGATACTGTTTATCCCTTTCATTTTTCCAGTGCCCTGAAACAATTCACAGCGCTCAGTCCACAGAGCTTGTTTCCACTAATGCTCTGGGTTGCAGTGCTAGGATAGAGCTTGGAGCTCCCCCTAAACCCTCCCCTTTCCTTCCTCCTGTGACAGTGGGCTATCCTTGGCTTGTGCTCCCCAGCTATTGACTCTGCCTGATGTCTTTCCTCTCATCCTGCCTGCAGTCAAGTCCATTCTAGAGGTGGGATGTGGTCATGCAGAGAGGTGAACAAACAGCAAATCTTGACAAGCAGCCATCACATGCAGGAGGCAGTGTGGCCACTTCCGTTGTCTGGCGTCTCTGGCTCAGCTGGTGACAGATGTCTGTGAGGTGGTTGAACTCATGCACATCACCCCATATTTTCCAAAGCTCATTGCCCCAGTGAGATCATGAACTCTTGACCCTGCCCACATGTGTCACCAAAGTCGCCAGAAGAGGTGAGGAGGACGAGAGGGTTGCTGGGCTCAACGTTAAGTAAACAGTTCACTCCCAGCACCTTCCTGAGGCTGAGTCACTTCCAGCCGGCTCTGGGCCTAAAAAGGGCAGCACGTAGCCAATATTATTCCAGACACAGGCTCCCACCCTGCCACCTCCATGCACCTGGCCTGTGAAGGCTTCTGGGATCAATGAGCAACAGCATGTCCAAGTGAACACTGAATTGCATAGACCAGATGTGGTCATCAAGTGTCCCTTGGCTGCTTGGTTTTCCTGGGGTGATCATCTTCAGAATGTCAATAGATGATTCCAATTTGGTTTCATTTGCTTCCTCAACATGTTGAGTGTGCACTGTTTGTGGAAAAGCATGTATGTTGTCATTCATTCTTTCAGGAAGTCTTTACTAAGCACCTGCATGATGGGGCTGCAGTGGTAAACAACGCCCTGTCCGTCATGAAGAGGACATGTGGATAAATGGGAGTTTCAACAGGGATAATGGGGGGTGGGCAGCTTTCCCAAAAAAAGAAAATTGAAACTTATCCTGAAGAGAGAGTAAAAGCTGGCCAAAAAAGTGGGGGGGGGGGCAGTGGAAGGGCAGTAAATCTCTCCAGCGCTGGGAGCAGGTTGAGAATATAGAAAAGTCCTGGAACTGGGAGCAGGAAGACTGAGGATACAGAGTTAGGCTGGGCTTGTTAGATGTGTCAAGATGTTTGGGCTTCCCCCAGGACACTGGGGAGATGGTGAAGAATTCTTTGCAGGAGAGAAGCAAAACCAGATCTGTGTTCTGTGTGAGGGGCCAGAGAGACCAGTTGTCTTGGTTACTTTTCTCTCCTTGCTGAGATGAAAAATCAAACACCCCAAATTAAAGGATGGAAGGTTAATTTAGCTCACAATTCATAGAGGTTTCAGTCCATAATCAGCTGGCACCAAGGTGGGATGGCATGGCAGATGGACAACAGTTCATGATGGCAGAAGACATCCCCCTTATGTTGTATGCAGGCTACCAGCCCTAGGGCAGGTGTAGCACTCATGCCCCCAATCCCAGCTCTAGAAAATGAACCAATCCAAAACTTCAGCTACATTGAAAAGCCTGCCCCTCTTGACAGCATGAGCCTTAGGGAGGACAGCCAGACATAAACCACAACACCAGTTATGATCGGGGAAAGAGGATGATAATTCAGACAAAGGAATAAACACATGAACAAATTCATGCACAAGTCTGAGAATATTTTATCAGATGGTGGAATGTGGTCATATGTGACAGTGTTCAGTAGGATGGCTTGGAAACCTCAGGGCTGGTGGAGTCGTTTCCTGAAACAGGCACCTGAGTAGAGGAACAGCGACCTAGCGTACTGTTCAGAGAGTGGTTTTTGGGTACATTGAGATGAAGGACTGAATGATTACTAAATGAAATTGTTGGTGAGTTAGTGTCTCAGACATGGAGACCAGCAGAGGCAGCAGTTGGAACAGCTATAGCCTGCAACCTCTCCTGCCCGCCCTCTACTGCCCTCCACCCTCCCCAGGGTCTCTTTCCCCTTCCTCCTCCTCCTCTCCTCCTCCTCCTTCATTTCCCCTCCTCCTGCTCCTGCCCACGGGTACCTCCCTTGCCTTCCCACCCACCCCTACTGTTCTACCGCCAACCTCCCCCTCTTGCCCTTCCTGCCCACTCCCCTTTTCCCCTCAGTAGCCTTGTGCCTGCAGTTTTTGGCTTTGACCCCCACCAGTAACCAAAGACTTGACCACTCAGGAAGTCCATACTCAACATGGACAACAGTGAGACTGAAGGAGGATTAAATGCCACTCTCACCATCTGGTTACTTATGCATGGAAAGGAAGTTGGCAGTATCTTTGGAAAGAAAGGAGAGTCAGATAAGAAAATGTGCAAAGAGAGTGGTGAGGGTATCAGCATCTCAGGAGGGAACTGTACTGAGTGAATTATTGCTCTGGCTGGACTTACTAAAGCCATCTTCAAAACCTTTGCTATGATCATTGACAAACTGGAAGAGGACATCAGCAACTCTATGACCAAAAGCACAGTGCCAGTAGACCCCTGGCCACTCTGAGGCTGGTGGTCCCTGCTAGTAAATGCAGCTGTCTCATTGGAAAAGGTGGTTGCAAGATCAAGGAAATATGAGAGAGGACCAGGGGCTCTGGTCCAAGTGGAGGGAGACATGCTCCCCAACTCAACTGAGCGGGCCATCACTATTGCTGGCATCCTGCAATCCATCATTGAGCTTGTCAGACAGATCTGAGTGGTCATGTTGGAGGCTGCCCTGAAGGGCGTGATTATCCCTTACTGGCCCAAGCCATCAAATTCTCCAGTCATTTTTCCTGGTGTCAGGCCTATACCATTCAAGGACAGTATGCCATTCCACAGCCAGACCTGACCAAGCTGCACCAGTTCGCAATGCAAGTCTCATTTTCCCATGATGCATGGCAACACCAGATTCAGTGGCATTGAATCCAGCTCTCCAGAGGTGAAAGGCTACTAGGCAGGTTTGAATGCATCTGCTCAGATTACTTCTCATGAACTCATCATTCCACACGATTTGATTGGTTGCATAACTGGCCAGCAAGGAGCCAAATCAGATATGTCAGATGTCTGGGGCACAGATCAAAATTGCAAACGCAGTGAAAAAATCTACTGATAGGCAGGTTACCATCGCTGGATCTGCTGCCAGCATAGCCTGGCTCAGTAGCTAATCAATACCAGGCTTTCCTCAGAGACAGGTGGCACAGGGAGCAGCTAGAACAATGCAGAGTCATCCATAACCCTGTCTGCTGTTTACCACCACCCGTGATCCTTCTGTGTAGTTTCTAAACAGTCAGCGATTCCAGATTTTAAATAGTTTGTAAATTTTCAGTTTCTACACACTTTATCATCCACTCATGATTTTTTAATTAAAGCATTTTAATTCCTTTTTTTTTTAGAAAAATAAATGGGCAGAACACTCTATTCTTTTTCCCAGCAGGTGTTTATTGATTGCCTACTGTAGATCATTGCTTTTGACACTTCCCTTTGGAAGTATGAGGGGACCTCAAACATCTCCTTTGATAAGGCTTACCACAAACTAGAAACAGAAATCAGTGCTTGGAACCAGCTGTGTGACAGCCTACAATTAGTCAAACCCACAGACAGCCTGTAAGAACTCTCCAAAGGCAAGATGTGAGATGCTGCTTGATGGAGATGTAGGAACACACACTAGAATGCTGTGTCTCAGGTGGGGAAAAGATGTCAATATTAACTCCTGGGTTTTCTTGTTTGCGTTTTTCTTAAGGGCATGCATTTCAAAAATTCAGAAACTTTTTTCTGAGAATTTCAACAACCCGGCCATCCAGAGTTCTGAGCCAGGTGAGTTTTTGTCATTAGTGGATTAAACCAGAATATGTCTGACCTCACAGACCCTTGTAGTGTTTATGGAAGGAAACCAACTCACTGACCACATCACTAGTCTGCAAGTTGTAATTTTTCCACTTTCCTGTGGCTAACGTAGAATAGGTGTCCTGTAAATATTTGTCAAATACGTGACAAATGAACCAAGCTTAGTGAACTTTTTATATGACAATGGCCACCATAAAGACAAACATACTTATATTGGAAAACCTGGGCTCTTCTTTGTCCTTTTGAGCTTTAGCCAGTCATGACTTGGATATTCTTGCCTGCACCTGTCCTAGAGGACTTTTCTGAGGTAAAACCATGAATCAGAATTGAGTCATCTAGCTAGAAAAAGTTCACTGAGCCTCATGAAGAGCTGGGATAGGTCCTTCCTTCCCTATTTCTTTCTCTTTCCTCCCTCTTTTTAAAATCTCTCAGTTCTTCCCTCTTTTCTCTTTCTTTTCTTTTAATTATTTATTTTATGTTCTTTGCCTCATCTTTCTCCTCCTCCTCCTCCTCTTTCTTCTCCTTTCATTGGTGGTGTTAGGTATTGAACTCAGGACCTCACGCATGTCAGGCACATGCTCTACCACTGAACTATGCCTTTAGCCAAGTATCAGTTCCTTAAAGTAGCATTTTTGGGGATAAACCCACCTGTAGTGGGTGCCTAAGATCAGAAATAGCCTAATATATTTCTTCTCACTTGTTAGTGTTGACAGATCCAGAGAAATAGTCTGAGATCATCTCCTGACTGGAAAAGGGGTTCTGGGATTGATTTTTGGATATCTACCGTGTATTGGCCATACTGAAAATGGAAAGTGATATCCAGGGAGGGAATGTGCTTGACCCACAGTTCTGCTTCTGCTTAAAATCACTCTACTCATGGGATTATTTTTCTAACCCAGTATAACCAGACCACCTAGGTGATCCAAGGTTTAAGGTATGAACCCAGTTTCTATATCCTGGTACCAAACAATGTCATACAGTTGCTGAGTAACAGTAATAGTAACAGGAAGAAGAAAGAGACACCTAAGGTCACACAGCCAAACTAATGGCAAAGCTAAGAAATAACTAGATGGGACTGATGGTCATCTAGGTCCTATTCTGCATTGACATTTAGGGTTCGTGGAGATCATCCTTCGTGGCACTCCCTCCCTCTAGCTCTGTACTAACAGAGTGGCAGAGCCCTCTTGCCCACACCTGTCATGGCTCCCTTGGCCTGGCATGATGGATCTTCTCCCTGCCTTCCTATCAAAATCTATCCTTTTTTTGATCATCTAGGCTATCCTCAGGTTAGACTTCCCCCACATAAAACTGGTCTACAATTTGCAAAGGACATTTTCCACATTATCATCTTATTTCACACTTTCTGATGAAATAATGGATTTTCTGGAGGTCCCCTCTCCCAGGAGGAAAATGAGGTTCAGGAGATCCCTGCACTCTCGGGTGGCCCTTTTACTGGGTTGCACTTCGTTGTTGCCTTTCAGATGGGCAACACTTAGGTATTAATGCTCAAAAGTCCTCAACAGGGAACCAGGAATCATTCTGCTCCCCATCTGGCAATGTCTTGAGACATTCTTAGTTGTCACAGCTAAGGAAGGGAGTGCCACTGAGTCTTCCAACTTAGTCAACAGCTATTTGGGATGCTTGTCACTACCATGGTAGAGCTGCTTAGTGTCCCCCTCAATTCCATAAGCTCCTTGCCCCACTCCACTGACACCTAGGAAAGTTCTTGCTCTCCTCATCTGCCTAATACCTGCATGTGGCTGGAGGTGTATACATGAGCAGAAGTTAAGGTGTCTCTGTGTAGGGGTGTTACCAAGACATTGCTCAGCATTGTTTTCTCTCCTCAGATGTGATTCTTGAATGCCTAGGCTTCAAATGGGAACTCCACCAGCCCCAGCTTTTTCAATCTGAGACCTTGGCCAAACTGTATCTGGCAGCCCTGATACAGAGCACGAATCGCTCCCTGGGAGAAATGAACAAGACTCTGCAAGGTAATTTCCCACTGGACCCTGGGGCTGGAGTGATGAAACCCCAGAGTGGCTATGGTCACTCCTGGCAGTTAGAGAACAAGGTCGCCTGCTGGAAGATCACCATGGATTTTGTCTGTGTTTCCTCAGTTATAAGTGGGGTAATAGATCTTACTCTGTGGCTTTGAAGCCTAGAGGAGGAAATAGATGAGGTGTCCTGGAAGGATGCCTGGCAGCCATTGAGCTTTCTGTGTGAGTTGATTATTAGCCTCAGAGTAATCAAGTCTTATCTGGCCAGACACAATGCAGATTCTATTTACATCTTGAAGAAGAGAACATGAGCTATGTCAAGTCTTTTGAAGAGCTTTCTGGGAGGAAAGCATAGCTCTGAAATTTGTCACTTATTTTCTCTAAACATGCTGGTTAGACATATATGCATCTTCCCTTTCTTTCCTTATTTCTTAACTTCAAGAATTTGTCATTTTCTTTTTTAAAATACCTCCTTCTCAAGCACTAATCCTCCCGTGTCTTATACTGTTCTCTATGCTTTTTCTATGTATACGGTGACCTTTGTCTCTAGGGAGCAGGTTTACACTACCTCAGGCTGACTCACAACAAGGTGCTATGGAAAATCCGGGGTTCCCACAGCCCACCACTCTGCTGGGCATGGGACTGCCTTCCCAGGTGTGGCAGCAGGGCCCTGTTTTTCTGGAGCCAGGCAGGGAGCCAGAGCTCCCACTCCCCTTGCTCATCCTCTCCAAGCTGGCGCGAGTACCCACAGCTTGCTGGAGTCTGCATGACTAGGAAGCTGCTGACCCAACTCTCCTTGGCAGAGCTGGCAGGAAGAACTGGCTTTCCCACAGAACAGCAATAGCCCTGGCTCTCACTGGTGGTCTTCTCTGCACTTCCTTGGCATTTGTCCCAGTGACTTTTAGAGCAGGCCTGGACTTTTCCATCTCTCCTGTGCTCAGGTTAGAGCACTCACCAGGCCACCAGTAAAAGGCTTTTGAAACCTAGACAATGAGTACATCAGAAAGCAAGAGAGTCTGGAGGGGAAACAGGGTTACTGCTAGTGTTACACCCTTCAACAGGTCTAGTATGGTATCACAAAAAGATTTGGGGCTGGGGATTTAGCTCAGCGGCATAAGCGCCTGCCTTGCAAGCAGGCAGTCGTGAGTTCAATCCCTGGTACCGATAAAAAGGAAAAAGACAAAAAAAAAAAAAAAAAAAGAAAAGAAAAAATTTGATCCAAAGCCTACCTTTTCATGGCTAGCCCTGGCTGGAAATGCCAGTGAAGCAAGAACTTTCCTAGATGTCAGTGGAGTGTGGGCAAGAAGCTCATGGAATTGAGGGGGACACTAAGCAGTCCTACCTGGAAATGCCATTTCCAGGCAGCAATGATTCCTGAGTGCCCTTGACTGTCACAATTTTCCAGGGTCCCTGCCAAGCACCACGAACTGATCGGGCCCTGGGACTTACATCTCCAAGATTTTCTATGCAGAGTTACAGTGCTTCGTGTGCCTTTAACAGCAGAGGGTCTCTCCCAATTGTTGCTTTCGTGTCTTTAAAGACCTCTGTGTGCTGTCCCAGAGCTGGCAGCAGAGGACATTTCTGGCCAAGTGCTGCAGAGCTGGACTTTGCACAGGTTCTCACCACTGCATGATTTCTTTCCACCAAAGGCTGAGGTGCTGTGCCACCTGAGCAGGACATGGTCATTCTCTAGGATGGAGTCCAAAAGGAATGGCCTTCTTATTATTAAATACAACCCAACTGCATTGGTTTCGGAAGATCTCAGGAACATGTGATCAAATGATTTCCTACTTGAGTTGGGGGTTTCACTTAATTTAGGGGGAAGATTGAACTTCTGCCTTCCACTTACTCTGGTCTAATTGATACTTCTTCCTCCTTCTGTCAAATGCATGCTTAGTTTATGCCAGTTTAGATAACTGCCATCTGTAGAGGCAGACAAGAAAATCCAAAATGGTGATACAACACAGTGAGTAGCATTATCTATAGTAATACTAGCCATCATGTCCTGTGGTCCAGTGTGTTAGGCGCTCATGTGTACTAGCTCATTTACTTCCTCTGGTGGGGGTGAATCACTGGCAGGACTGTGCAGATGGGAGGTAGGCAGTAAAGCCCACGAGGAAAATGATCCAGAGCTTGGAACAATAACTGGCTCTTACTAGGCATCTAATAATCTTTGCTGAACAGGGTCAAGGGCCAGAGGTTAGTAAAGGTTATCCTGAGGCAGAGGGGTCTTTAGTATCTCTTTCTTCTGCAGTGTGATATATATCTTGGTTCCCTACTTGTATTACTTTTCATTACCTGGAAACTTAAGCCCATTGGTGATGGAATCTATTTATTTCATTAATTCAGCCAATAGTAACTTAGCACCGGTGTGGCAGATCCAGGGGAGGAGCCACTATAAACCATCCACATGCCTGTCCCAGAGGTGCTGGTGTAGTACCAGACTGTGATAAGATTGGTTTATGCAGAAAAGAAATCAGTTAGCAGGGGTGATGGTTTTGTCCTCCCTATGGGGTCAAGGAAGGCCTCTCTGAGAAAGGGACACATGAATAGGTCCCTGATGAAGGATGAGGCAGAGAGCAAGCCACACGCTGTTCTGGGAGATGAGCCCAGAGGACACAGATTTGGGATACAGTGGGCAGAGAGGTGGGGAAGGGAAGACCTTTATGGCCTTGGAGCTATGAATGGCACTTTGGCTTGTGGATTTGGGATGCTACCAAAGGCTTGAGAGACACATTTTGGAACAACTTCAAGACCAAGGGGTTGGCTAGTGACAACTTGGGCTGGCCCACCCCATCCCCCTGGAAGTAGCTGAAGGTAGAGGTCCCCAGTTTGGGGATCTGTGGGACTAAATGCCAAGAGCCAATGGGTGGACACCTCATTCATTCGTCCCACATGTCAAGCCACATTTATCCTTTAGCAGGCAGTCTTGGTGCCTCACTTGGTACCTGCCCTGCCCTGATTGCTCAAGTTGAGGAGTGGCTGAGTTTGACCCCAAACTGTTCACTTCTCAAGAGAGAAAGGTGGAAGAGAAAAGGGGTGGAAGAAGGAGAGCAGGAATAAATATTTAAAATGCAACACAAGTGTCAACACAAGTGACTAGTTTCATAGTGTACAGTGGCTATGGGAGATCTTTAGGGAAAGGAGGAGGCGAGGAGGACACAGGAACTACCTGTATTACTTTGAAAACTTTTTGGTAGTTTTGACTATTTGAAAAATATGTAGTTATTTTACAAATGCACCTACTAAATAAACCAAATACGATGCGATCACGTCACCACCAAGGTGGTGTGGAGGGTGAGGGGTGCCTCCTGCCGTGCCTTTGCTGTGATCATTGCCTCCACAGACTGTTCTCTGGTTTCTTTACTAGCTCAATCACCTGGGAAGACCAAAGAGAAATCCCCCTTCAAGAAGATGATCGTTTCTCTGAGGATCAATGATCCATCGGTCACCAGAGTTGGTAATGTAACACCTGTCTTTATGTTCGGAGAAAGCAGTTCTGAACAGGCAGTCTTCCGAGTCAAAACAATAACAAACAAAATCAACCTCCACAAGAAACAAGTGGTACATACTCCACATGAAAAACGCTGAACAGTGCAGGCAAAGAAGGGACAAAAGGGCTGGAACAACTAGGAAAACTGGAAAATGGAATGCCACTAAAGAGAGGCATGGCCATGGGGTAAAGGATGAGAAGGATGCAGGATGGAAGAAAGTAGCAGGGTTCTAAGATATGGCAGAAACGGAGCTGCCCTTCCGCAGCTCACAACTGCCCAGGGAACACGCAGGCCTGCCTTTGCTCCCAAACAGCTTTGGCCTGCTCCATCCCACCAAGGGCTCATGCTGGTTGCTTTCCAGTAGCAAAAGTCTTCCCCAGGGTACACTCATAGTCCCAGGTCACAGGATTGTGTGTTAATGCAATTGTGTGACATTGTATGATGACACAGGCCTATGAATTGCACTTAAGCACTGACTCAGCCAGTTTTCCACAGAGCACATTCTGATGGCACTGTGACACTATCTTGGATCACGTGGGATTTGAATTAGGCCAAGTCCATCTGGTTTCCAGCCAAGGCAGACCAGATTCTGAATGATTAAGTTATCTTGGCCCTTTCTAGGAAATCTTGACCCTTATTGACGTGCCCAGATGCCTAGGAAAATCTTCTGTAAGCTATATGTCTCTTCTAGAGAAGGAAATATGCCTATTTGCACATCACAGTGTGCACATATTTGGACAGTCACATTCTTGCACAGGCCACAGGCCTGGGTTAGAAAGCCCTCCTGGGATGCCTCGACCTCCAGGTGACTCCAAGGCACAGACTTTGAGGACGGGCTCAAAGGAGAGCTCTTTGAGCACAGCTCAGCTTTCTTTAGCTCAACTCCTCCAGGCAGTTGAAAGCCCAGAGCACCAAACACCCTGGTAGTGCCTGTGTTCGAACAGAGCTGGTGCCTCTTCTCCAAGGGTGTCCCTGTCTGTCCAGCTGTAGGCGTAGCGAGGCCATGGGTGGTGTCTGCATGCAGAGCTCCACACTGATAATTCTCCCTCCTCTGCTGCTTCCTCAGCCTTTGCCGCAGCCTTGAAGAATCTCTACATAAGCGAAGTGGAGATAAACGCAGAAGATGCAGTGGCAGTGCTGGCTTCTGCTAACATCCTCCAGTTCAACAGCCTATTTCAGAAGTAAGGAGGCGGGAGGGACTCAGCTAGCCTGCACAAAACTAGAAGGATCTGCCTGGTGCATTTCACGGAACTTCCTTCATCTCTTGACTAAGAGACTTTGATTCCTTTGTGCCAAGCATGACTTTGAGCCTGGAAAGGATCAAGACACTAACCTGTACTAATATATTAAGCACTCATAACAGAACTTGCTCGTTCTCCCGAATCTAGAGCAGGCTCATTTAGCCATTTGAGCCATCATTTGAGCTCTGATTCTTGACTCACAAATGGGAAAGGGGGTGTCTGCAGCTGGGAAATGTCTGAAGGTCTGCGAAGTGACTTCCCATGTGCCCTCAAGTCAGGCTTGATTATCCACTTCACTTGTGTTCAGTTTTGGATTAAAAAATTCTTCCTCCACTGAGCACACACATAGAAACATTGGAAGAACAGTTGACTTCCTAATTTTTTCTTGGCTTATTTTTTTCCCACTTGTGCTTTTCTTGTAAATAACATTTTCATTGTTCTGAATGTTACATGCGGCTGCAAGTCTTTTGGAAGAAGGAAAGTACCCATCCCATTGCCCACTTTGGGGCCTTTTTGCTGGGCATTCAGGACCTACTGTCTCAGTTGCTGCCCTTTAGGAGGGTTATCCAGGGTGAGGGGGACCAAGAGGAATTTGGAGAGGATTGACATCCAGTGTTAAAGCCTCTTCATCCTGACAAGTTACTTGGACCTGGATAACTAGGGAGTTCATGAACACTGAAATTTGAGAGAGCAGTGAATTCAGTGCTTCTGCCTGCATCGGAGGGCGTGGAGGACACTTCCCAGAGTGAACCAGCATGTGAGATGTGGGGGCGGTGCTCAGCCCTGCAATAAGCTGCCCCTTAGACTCCATTCACTTCAGCGGTCTCCACTGCAAGGTGCAGCTCACAGTATTAGTCTTGCCCACTTCCATGACTTTGAAGGGGGTGGGGGTGCTGCCAGTACAAGGAACTAGGAGATGAAGAGTTTGCAAGGCCAGATGGTATTCTCAACTCTTTGCGGAGATGACATCCTTTTATCTTCTGTGCAGCCCTGAGAGACAAGACTACTTGCCATACTCATTTTGCAGATGAGAGTGAGACTTACACTAAGGCTTGAAGAGACAAGTATCTTTCCCAAGTCATCAGGGTTTTCAGGAAAGAGTGCTCGGTGCACTAATGTGGTCCTAATTCCTGACACAGTTCAGTATAGAGGACATTTAGGGTAGGAATGTCCTACCTGTCTCGTTCTCCTTCCTTAAGTCTCAGATTCCTTATCTGAGTAAGTGAATAAGTGTCTCATCTAGGCCACAAAAGGACATCAGCTATTCTGTGGAATGCAGAGACAGGATTGTTCCTGGGGACCATGCAGGATTTAATTTCCTCTTTGAGAGTACATGTAGCTAGATTAAACCCTGCAAATATATCTGAGCTAGTACCTTATTCCTGGAGACACCTGAGGTGCCTCAGGCCAGACCATTCACCTGTAGCTTCTTGCTTGTTGGGGATGCAGGCACCCCATGATGAACTGAGAGCTACAGGTGCTCAGAGATCCAGATTAATTTGCAGAGGATACACAGAGAAGGATTCAGAATTTTGCAAAGGTCCTTCAGCGTGCTGGCACAGTCAGAGCTGTGAGGCTGAGTGGCTATACAAAGCGGGGGTTGTACAGTTGTAGGCAGAGCTGGCTTATGTAGGGTATTGGAGCCATCCAAGAAATGTGGTCCTATGTAAGATGATAGAGAGAAAAGTCTGGGTTTTCTGAGATTCCCGATGCTCCTTCCATTGTATACAACACCTACCTGCAGCTCAGTGCAGCCCTATGGCTTATAGTAACTGCTGAATCACAGCTTCCTACTCAGATCACTGTTCAGCAGCTATTTCATGGTATTGCCCAGGAAGATATGCCTGACCTACATATTAGGAGGGCAATTGCCTTCCTGAAGCAGAACCTCCCACCACTTTCTATCTCTTACCTTCCACTGCCTTGCATTGGCCCAGATTAGACACCTCATCTAATTTTTAAAACTTGGTCCCTAGCTTATTTGTGGATGAGCTAGGAGTGGCAGGTGCTTCATTTTCCTTCCTCCTCCTCTGTTCTGAATGCCAGACCACGAAAGTTCTTAGCAGCATTGAACCAAACCTATCATTCCACTAATGAGCACACCCTGGCCTGCTTGCAGCAGATGGGAGCTGCCCCAGATGCTGCAGATAATTGTTGTGGAACTGGTATTGTAGGCAAGAGGCCAGGGCAGACCTGTGCACCACTGGATGGGTCTGGATTGTCTCTGAGAGATTGATGGTTTGGTTGCAGGAGTATGACAGCATAATCCCTCCTCCAGTGTGTGTGTGTGTGTGTGTGTGTGTGTGTGTGTGTGTGGTGGAGCACAAATGCCCCAAGTCACTACAAAAGCCTCATAACATCAGATGCTGGATGAGACCTCAAAAGGCATCTCAGCTGAGCTTCTGGTCAGTGTAAATTCGCCCAGATGACTGGAGATTCGAATCTCCCATACATGAAGTATTCGTCTTTAAGGACAGAATGTATGTGTGGGTCCCACCAGGTGCTGTTCTTAGACTCTGATGGTACTTTTTGTCTGTACTGGCACTTGGGCAGGAGTCACAGCTGGGATCATAGTTGTCACATGTATGGCCCAATCTGGCTGAAGTGAAAGACAAATGACCCTGGAGTCATGCAGAGTTTTGGAGGCCATGTGAGCAGTTTCCACTCAGCTCAATCAGCAGAGGACAGAGCCTGATGCTCAGAGAGGAGGTGATGTGAACCCCTCAGGCCACAGCATGAAAGATGCAGGAGAGGCACAGAGGCAGACAGACCTGCTGTGGTTGGGCTGGGAGCCTCTGAGGGTCTGAACCACTCTAGTCAGAGGAAGAGGAAAGGAGGAAGAGAGGGAGGCTCAAGAAGCAATGAAAATGACAACTGATGGGACTCAGCGAATGTAGGAGCCAAATACCCACAGGTGACAGCAAGGCCTGGCCTTTACTCCATACAGGGCCCTCCTGTACTCAAGACCACTTCTTTTTTTTTTTTTTTTTTTGTCTTTTTCATTTTTATCGGTACCAGGGATCGAACTCACGACCGCCTGCTTGCAAGGCAGGTGCTTATGCCGCTGAGCTAAATCCCCAGCCCCTTCAAGACCACTTCTTATAGTAGGTATAGGTCTCACAGTGACAGTCCTAGGATCTGTGTTATTCATTCATCTATCCTTACCTTGTTCTAGCACACATTTCAAGTGGCTTAACAAATGAATGAACAAAGAAAAATTAAAACTAAAATTTTAAATTGTCTGGAAAAAAAGCAATAAAGAGAAAACAAGGATGGAGGAGCAAAAACTTCCATCGTGTGACACTCTGGCTAGAGGGGGCCACACATTCAGCTCTGAACTTAAGTGGAATTATGTGGAAAATTAAGCAATCAAGTGGAAAAGGGAAATTTGATCTGTGACATGAAATAAAAATAAACATTAGAGAAATAAATGACTTGGGAGAGGCATAGCTACTGTTGCTATTAAAACCACAAGTATCCTCATCAGAGGACTCCAAGAAGCATAAGGATTAATACCCTTGACAATGTCCACTGGACACATGTGACAGTAGGTCTTGTGATTTTCTTCATGGATATTGGTGAAGGTTTTACCCCCAAATACAACTCAGTAAAAGCCACTCTCTAGGTGTGTGGCTGGAGGTGGTAATGGGTCCCCCAGTTTCCTGCTAGTGTGACTTTACTGCAGAATACATTTTAGAATGTGTGCCAGGGACTTGATAGCTGTCTTTGTCTATGAGCAGGTGGATCTCGAATGGGCCTAGGATAAGCTAGGTGAGGCGCCTTTGGGTGATAAGGAGTCAAAATGATCCTGCAATATGAAATCCTTGTAGCCATCCTTGGGTGTCCTGGTCAACAAAGTGATCATTCCTTAAGGAAATTTTGTTGAAAAGAGGTTAATGTTGCTTATGAAAATGGAAGCGTTGGATGTCTATTGACCCCACCTTCCGCCTAGCCCTTCTCCCTGCCAGATCATTTACTCCTTGGTCTTTCCCTCCCTTACTGTGCTCACTACTCTCCTATCCTTGAGGTTACTCCAAAATATGGCCCTGAGACTTCCTTGGGGCCTTTGGACATGCAGTCTTCTCTTAGAATGCTGGTCTCCCAGTTCCTGGCTGGGCCAATTCTTTGTCCTGTTCCTTTAGGTTTTAAATGTGTCTTTCCCAGTATCTATCACTTCTCTGATATAACCATACTAGGTTAGATTCTGACTGTCATAATGTGGCAATCTGTCCAAGTCTTCTTAACAACATGTGTCACCCCTCTGGGTCATCATTTTTATTTCTTTGTACAATGAAATCCTCATTGGTGCTGGGAGCATGCTATGCACTCAATAAATAGATTCTTTGATAACTAAACGGGCCAAATAACAAGGCTTATGCATAGGAAGGGATGGAAACTTTTGTCAAAATCTCATTCTCTTTGGATTTATTCATGTGCAGAGATGAGTAGGACAGAGGGCCCTGGAGCAGCCCCAAAATGGTCTGTGCAGGAGGAAACCTGATAGGCACCCTGAAGGAGATCAAAGCTCATTTAAGCACTTTAGGCTCTCTTACTCTGATCATTAATACCCCTCCTTGCTGTTGTCTATTTTTTATTTGGACACATTGCTTCATAATTAATTGTTTATTGGTACATTTTAGATATACACAGCAATCACATTCATCATAGGGTATTTGTACATCACGTGATGTATCTGGCTTCTTTTTATCCCATTCCCCTCTCTTCCTTTCAACTCTTCTTTCTCGCCTTACTTACAAAAACTTTGTTTCCATTTTTCCTTCTATTCTCTTTTCTTCTTGTCCCTTCCTTCCTTTCCCTCTCCCCCTTTCTTGTTCCTCTTCCCATTTGAACATTTTCTTACCATTTCCCAATATCTATTATACATTTTAACATTTATTTACACTTTGTTTTCTCCCACCAGAGAAACAATGTGGCATTTAAACATATGTGTCTGATTTATTTCACTTAGGAGTGTGATCTAAAGGTACAGCCATTTACCTAGTAATGTCTCAAGCTCATCCCTATTTATGGCAGAGTGTTACTCCACTGCATTAAAAAATCACCTTAAAAATCATCTTCTTTATCTATTCATCAGCTAATGGGCATTTGGACTGTATCCAAGATCTACAATTAAAAACTATTATGCTGCTACAAACATGGTGTGTGTATATTGCTATGGGATGATGCATTTATTTCTTTGGCAAAGATAGTAAGAAGAAGAACAGATGGGTCAAATGGAACCTCTAGGTTTTTGAGGCATCTGTACACTGATTTCCACAGTGGCTGCACCACTCTACTTTCCCATCAACAGTGGAGAAGAGGTCCTTTATCCCCGGAGCCTCACCAGCATTTGTTATTCATTGACTTTTTGATAATGGTCATTCTTTCCTGGAGTGAAATGAAATCTCAGCATTGTTTTAACTTGCATTTCTGGAATTACCAGTGATGTTGAACACTTTTTCATATATTTAATTGCCATTTCTACTTCCCTCATATGAGAAGTATCTGTTCATTTTAGATGCCCATTTTTGGACTGGATCTTTAAATTTGAGAAGGTGTCTGATTTTTTTAGTTCTTTTTGTATTCTACATATTAGTCCTTTGAGGAACAGCTGGCAAAAATGTTTTCCCACACCGTGAGTTCTCACTTCAATCTGTTGGTGATTTGTTTTGCTGTACAGAAGCTTTTTAATAAGATGAAATCCCAGTTGGTTCTTTGTGATATTTCCTGTGTTACTGGGGATTTGTTCATTAAGTCTTTATGTACACCAATGTCTTCAAGAGTTCTACCTATTCTATCCCCCACTAGATTTAGCGTTTCTCTTTTAATACAGCAGCACAGTTTGTAATTGCTAAATCTTGGATACAGCCCACATACTCGTCAACAGATGAATGGATAAAGTTTTTTATGCAATGTAGTACTTAATCTGTCATAAAGAATATTTAGATCTTTGATCCATTTAAATTTTAGTACAATGCATAGTGAAAGATATGGGTCTAGTTTTAATCTTCAGCACGTGGAAAGCTTGTTTTTGCAGCATGGCTTATTAAGGAGACTTTCATTCAGTCAATGTATGTAACTCCTTTGTCAAAGACAAGGTGATTGAATGTATTTGGAATTGTTTATTCATCTTCTAATCTATTCCATTGATTCATAGGCCTATTTTTTTTGCCAGTACCATGCTGTTTTTTAAATTACAGTAGCTTTGTAATATAATTTCAACCAGGGATTGTAATGCCACCTTCCTTGCCTTTGTTGCCCAGAATTGCTTTTATTACTCCAGGTCTCTTGTGGTTATGAATGAATTTTAGAATTATTTTCTCTGGGGGCTGGGGATTTAGCTCAGCGGCATAAGCGCCTGCCTTGTAAGCAGGCAGTCGTGAGTTCGATCCCTGGTACCGATAAAAAGGAAAAAGACAAAAGAAAAAAAAGAATTATTTTCTCAGATTCCATGAGATATGATATTGGTGTTTTCATTGGGATTGCATTAAATCTGTATAGTAGTTTTGGAGATATGGCCATTTTCTTTTTTTTTCTTTCTTTCTTTTTTTTTGGTCTTTTTTGTTTTTATCGGCACCAGGGATCAAACTCACGGCTGCCTGCTTGCAAGGCAGGCGCTTGTGCCACTGAGCTAAATCCCCAGCCCTGGTATGGCCATTTTCATTATGTTGATTCTTCCGACCCAAGAACAAGGGCTATCTTTCCATTTTCTGATATTCTCTTTTTTCAGAGTACTGTAGTTTTCAATGTAGAAGTCTTTTACATCCTTAATTAGACTGATTTCTAGACATTTAAAGCTATTGTGATAGGTGTTGTTTCGCTAATTTCTTTTCAGTGGTTTTGCTATTTGCATACAGGAATGCAGTCAATTTTTGAGTGTTGATTTTGTATCCAGCTATGTACTAAATTTGATTATTAGATCTAGAAAACTTTTGGTGGATTTTTTGGGATCTTCTATATAAAGTATCATGTTATAGCAAATAATGATAATTTAACTTCTTTCTCTCCTATACTTATTCCTTTTATTTATTTCTCTTGTCTAATTGCTTTGGCTAGTATTTCCAGAACTATACTGAATAAGAGTGGGCATCCTTGTCATGTTCCTGATTTTAGATTGAAAGCTTTTAGTTTTTATCCATTTAGCAGTATGTTCGTGTTAATTTGTCATAGATGGGTTTTATCAGATTGAGATAAAGATCTTCTATTTCAATTTTTCTGTGGATTTTTAAAAATCATGAATGGGTGTTAGACTTTGTCAAATGCTTTTTTGGGGTCTATTGAGATGATCATATTGCTTTTGTTCTTGGTTTGTTAAATGTGGTATATTGCATTTATTGATTTGCATATATTGAAACATTCACTCATCTTTGGGATGAATCCTACTTGGTAATGGCATATAATCTTCTTGATTTTCTGCAAATCTGTTTGCCAATATCTTTCATGGAGGATTTTTGCATCTATGTTCATTAGGTAGATTGACCTATAGTTCTCTTTCTTTATTGGTTCTTTCTCTGGTTTTGGTATCAGGGTAATGCTTGCTTTCACAAATAAGTTTGGAAGCATTGCTTCTCTTTCATTAAAGAGTTTGAAGAGTAGTTGCCTCCTTTAAGTTTCTTGTAGAATTTAACGGTGAATCTTTCAGAGCCTGGGCTTTTCTTTGTTGGTAGGTTTTTAATTAAAATTTCAATTTTATTGACTGATACTGGTTTATTTAGAATTTTTATATCTCCTTGATTCAGCTTAGGTAATTCATATGTATCTAGGAATCTGTCCATTTTTTCTGTTTTCTATTTTATTAGTATACAGGTTCTTGAAGTACATATTGATAATCTTATGCATTTCTGCAAGATGTGTTTTGATTTCACTCTTCTCATTTCTAATTGCATCAGTCTGAGTCCTTCCCTTTTTTGATAAAGGTTTGTCAATTTTATTTATTTTTCAAAGAACCAACTCTTCAATTCATTGATTCTTTGTATTGTATTCTTAGTCTTCATTGTTTTAATTTCTGTACTGATCTTTATGATTTCCTTCATTGTATGTGTTTTGGGATTTATTTTTCTTCTTTTTCCAGAATGCTGATGTTCAATATTAGGTTGTTTATTTGAGCTCATTCTGTCTTTTCAGATGTGGGGATTCACTGTTATAAATTTCCCTCATAAGGCTGCTTTCATTGTGTCCCATAGGTTCCAATATGTTGCAATAGTATTATTGGTTAATTGTAGAAACTGTCTAATTTCTTCTGTGATCTATTGGTTACTCAGGAGGATATTATTTAATTTCTGTATATTTATGAAGTTCTTGTGGTTTCTTCTGCCATTGGTTTCCAATTCATTGCAATATGGTCTGGTAAGATGTATGAGATAATTTCAATTCCTTTGCCTTTACTTAAACTTTAGCTCAGTGTTCTAAGTGCTAATATGTTGTCTGTTTTAAAGAATGTCCTGTGTGCAGGTAAGAGGAATGTGTATTTTGATATTGTCGGTGAAACACTCTGTAGACATCCGGTAAGTCCATTTGTTGATTAGTATATTCATTACAATGAGGGTATTGAGGTCCCCATTAAAACTGTATTAGTGCTTATTTGATTTTTTTAAATGTATGTTAATATTTTTGTACAGTTAGGAGTGCTGGTATTTGGGGCATATACAATTATGATTGTTATCTCTTTCTTGGATTGTTTCCTTTACAAAGATGTAGTGACCTTCTTTGTTTTTCTTAATCAGTCTTGGCTTGAAAACCACTTTATCAGCAAATAAAATGACTACCCCTGAGTTTTTTCTTGGTGCCTGCCACATGGAGTATTGTTTCCCATTCTTTGACTTTCAATTTGAGAGTTTCTTTTTTAATTAAATGTGTTTCTCATATGCAGTATATTTTTGGATCTTATTTCTTGATCCATTCGTCTAGTCTTTTTCTTTTGATTGTGAATGGAGATCATTACCATTGATAATTATAACTAATGTGTATTGATTTATACTTATCATGTTATTTCCCTGTTGTTGATTTCCTTTTCCCTCCTCCATTTAATGAATGAAAACCTCGTGGTTGCCTTCTCTCAAAGCAGCTGGGGGCTTCCAGGATTACCAGTTCTTTTTTTACAGATGTGTGGACACGATGATAAAAGCACTCACACCAAGCACCATCAAGAACTTTTACCTGGCTGGCTGCAGGGTAAGAATACCTGACATCTGGGAGTTGTGGGGAGTGGAGGGATGGGGAGAGTTTAAAGAGCACCTCAGACTCTGAGGTTTTACCTTCCAAGCCTCTCTCCAAAGAATTTATTCAAAGGCAGATGTTTACGAGAGAATGATTTAATTTTGCTAAGTGAACACATTTTTAAAAAATATCTATTTTTATAGTTCTTTAAAAAGTTGAATTAACAGCAAAAAAAAAAAAAGTAGAGAGGACAACCTTAGGACAGGGAGCTGTATTAGTAACTTTTCCCATCACTGAGATTCAATACCCAATATTCACACTGTAAAGGAGAAGAGCTTTAATTTAGCTCACAGTGTCAGGAGATTTCAGTATATGGCTGGCTTGCTCCAAGGCAGAATCTCATGGTGAAGGATGTGATGAAGCAAAGCTGCTTAGCTCATGACATCCATGAAGCACAGTAGAGGAATAGCACCATAGAAACGGGTCAGAGACTATATATAGCACCCAAGTCCAGATTTCCAAGACCCAACTGGACAGATGGACAAGCATGCTTTATTAATGTGCTAAGCATTTCTTAATCAAATGAAGTCAATACATCAGGATTAATAGTCATAAAGGGCATCATAGATTTCCTTAGCAAAGTGCAAAAACCTTCCAGGACATTCTTGCTGGAATCATGAGACCTTGTCGCACGTGGGCCCAGTATGTCAGTGTTGAGAACAAATGATGCAATCTGCTGTCAGTATCAGAGGAGAAAAAGGAGTAAACTGCCCAGGGTGATCAGCTACCAAGAAGAAAGCCTCTGATCTCTGCTGCCACTGAGCTCCAGATTCCAGCTCCCTCCCCGGGGACACTATCGACTTAGAGGCATTCATTCCATGAGACAGACTCATGTAAGGGAGACATCCAGTTTGTGCACTGCCAGCATGTCAGGGAGGTACTTACCACAACTGAGCATGTCATGTACACATTTTAGAAGGAAAAATCAAAAGATAGGGAAATAGAAAAGGCTCCCAGAGGCTATGGACCTTGGGAGGATATTGCATGTCTTCAGGGCCTGGGGATGACAACCAGACTGAGAAAGATGTCTCTAAGAGTGACTTCTAACCCCATAGAGTAAAGGTGAAGATCACATGGGAGTCCCCTCCCAGGCCTTTCCAGGCCCAGTATCTGTTCTCAGTCTAGGAATTTCAGCATGCAGCGCTGAGTGATCAGGCAGCCTGAGTAACTCAGTGACTTACTAGTGTGTGATGGAACCTGGTGGCCTCAGTTTGTCTAGTAAAATAGAAGTAATAGGGAGCTGATCTCTTATGGTTGCAGTGAGGACTGGTTTAAATCACCCAACTGCAATACCTGGAGCATAATGCCCGCTGCTTTAATTTGCACAATTTGTACAAAAGATTTGGGCACATCTGCAGCATGACTATCCAAGCATACCTGTAGCATCACTGCAAGCCAGCAGAGGGTGCTGAGAGTAGTTTCCTTCATCAAGGAGCTTGTTTTGCCTTCTCAGTACAAGGAAGAACAGCTCACCAGGGCCTGCGAGAAGTGGCTGGAAATGAATTTGGTCCCTCTGCTGGGGACACAGCTCTACCTTCGCCATATCCCACAGGATCTGCTCCACAAAGTGCTGCAATCCCCCAGGTCAGAGTTGGTTTGGGGCATGCTGGCCTTCGGATGGGTATGGGAGGAAGTCAGGAAGGGAAATGCCCCAGTGGGGGCTGTGCCACACCATGGCCGGACACATCTATGTCACCATCACCCTTGATTCCAAATTTTCTGCTCTCAGATAACCTAGCTTCTGGTGGGAGCTGACACTCAAGGTACTATGAGATATTCAGGGTGCAAACTCAGGTTGAAAAAAGGGACCTTCTGAGCACCAGATATCTCATTATCTGCCCAGATGAGAAAAAATGAAAGGCCTGAGTAACTTTTTTTTTAAGTCCTGGTAACAATAATGAACATTCATTTTGGAAAATTTGGAAAACAGGAAAAGTCAGAAAAAGGAAAAAAAAAACTTTTTACACTAAATCATTTTATATGTGCAGCACTGATTACTCTGTTGAGTAGTTCTTACCCAGATATTTGCCTGTCTACTTGACCTTTATGACAGGTAAGGCTAGAACTCAAATCTCAGTGTCTCTTGCCCTTTACTATATCCCCATCCACCACACTGTTCCTGGACCATCCACTGTATGCTCAAGCTAGAGCCTAGAGATCCCTCTAGGTACCATTTTGACAATGAAACCAGATCTGCTTTCATACTAAGTTTATGCCTATGGATTTCTCTCCATAGTACCAGCCAAGGCCAAACTGCCATAATTTCTCATTTGGACCACAGCAGGGCCCCCTAATTCAGTGTCTTGTCTCTGGTCTTGACATCCTTCCAAGAAATCTAGCTCCTTCATCTCATGCACCAAGAAGCAGTCAAATGGCCTTTCTTTAGTCTTCTTGCTGAGCTCTTTCTCAGGCCTCAGTACAGCTGCTCCTTCTGCCTGAAATACCTGACACTATCGGCTCCTTCTCTCCCTCTTAACAGAGGTCCATAGAACCATCCCTAGTAGCTGACTTTTATATTATATCCAGTGTTCTACCAATATACATAGCACTTTGGTGAATATCCAAAGTACATTTTTTCATTCAAGATGATTTTCCTGCATTACATTTCTGGAAGTAAAATTACTATATCAAAGGACTTCTAGTTGTGATTAGTCATTAAAAAACTTTATTTGAAAATTATTTCAAACTTAAGGAAAAAAGAGTACAAAGAATATCTATGCAGAGGCTCTTCCACTTGTGATGGACTTAATCCCAATTTTAAACCATTTGTGAGTTGAAAAATCCTAAACCGAAAATGTGTCGCATACATCTAACTGCCCCACCATCACAGGCACAGGCCTACGCAGCACACACTAGGGATATCAGCTGTTCACTGTCCCAGTCACATGACTGCCTGGGAGCAGCCACCCACTGGCACTGCCTAACATCAAGACATAGTAGGGATCAGTAGCACAGAAAGATCATAATTCAAAATCTGAAGTACAATCTCTACTGAATAGGAGCTGGGGATTTAGCTCAGCAGCATAAGTACCTGCCTTGCAAGCAGGCAGTTGTGAGTTCGATCCCCAGTACTGATAAAAAGGAAAAAGACAAAATAAATAAATAAATAAATTTCTGCAGAATGGATACAGCTTTCCCAACATCATAAAAACGAAGAGCTATAACTCAAACCATCACAAGTTGGGACCTTTTCCCCTGAGTCACCCTTTTTAATTTCTGCTCTATTTGTTTTATTATTTGCATCTGTATTCATATGTACCTATAACCAAGTTTTTTCTAAACTATTCAGAGGTAAGTTGCGTATATCGTGCCCCTTTACCACCAAATGTTTCAGTGTTTATTTCCTAAGAAAAAGAATTTAATACAACAACAGAGTAGTTATCAATGTCAAGAAATTTATCATTGAGTACTTTTATATTGTTTTGTTTTGTTTTGTTTTTTGGTCTTTTTCTTTTGTATTGGTACCGGGGATTGAACTCATATCACACACTTGCAAGGCAGGTGCTTATGCCGCTGAGCTAAATCCCCAGTCCCTACTTTTATATTGTTGAACCAATATTGTCTTCAATAATAGCATTTGCCCCTTCCAATGTAGGATTCAGTTAAGGATTACACATTGCATATAGTTGCCAAGTGTCTTTGGTAGTCTTTTTGAAAATGTCCTTGGTGCCCATTGCCAAGTTTCCAAGGTTGTGTTCCTTTTGGGTGAATTTCAAAAGTCAAGACTGAATTCTACTAAAAGTCTTAGTAGTATACTGGAAAATAAGTGTTTACTCATCTTGATGTCCTTGAAAGTGTTCCTCTTCCAGAAATTAGGTCTGAAAAGTTATACATTGTTCCAGATCATTAATCCATCCCATGGTTTTTAATTAACAAAGTGGCACAAAATGCCCTTACGTTTGCAGAGACTGGAGGTTGGCAGGACAGCATCTTAGTGATAACTAAGACCTCAGGAGGCTAGGAACATAGCTCAGTGGCAGAGAGCTTACCTAGCGTGTTCAAGGCCCTAGTATGTTTTATTCAGGATGAGGATAGGGTCGGGGAGGCCATGAAGGAGGAAGATGAACAAGAGAAGAGGGGAGGAAGGAAAAGGAAACCCCCTCAAAAGCCTTGGACCAGGCACTAGCACTCACCAGTGTCATTCTGCTGTGGTCCCTGCTTTTCTCATTCATCCACCCCCACTCTCTACTCCACCCTTACAAAATTGTTGAAGAACAACTAGCCATGGCATCCCTTAGACTTTTCATAACACTGCTCCTTCCGTGGAAAGGCTGAGTTATCCCATTCTGGTAACATTTAATCAAAAAGAGAAAAAAATATCTGACCACAACCAGAACGTTGGTGACAGTACAGGTCTGGCAAAACACATGGTGAGTAGGAAAAGAGGTCAAGAGCATGACGTGTCAGATGTCTAGACTCGCCAGCCTGGGCAGACAAGACTGAGGTGGAACAGCCCTGCCCGTCAGCCTCCCCAGGCAGTGTCTGCCCAGTGTCCTGCAGAGGAGAGCAGAGCTCTGTGTGGCCTCAGGTATGTAACTGGCCCTGGAGTGGGCAAGGGCAGGATGACTGGTCTCACGGTTGCCATATCATCTGTTGTTGATATCCAGGGGCCACCTACTTTACAGGGAAACTGTTGGAAACTGAACCAGGTTTGCGGACTTCACTGAGGACACCTGAGGTCCAGGCTAGTGGCTAGCGGGTTTGGTGTCGCTATTCACACTTGATTAAAAGTGAACAAGCTCTACAGGGTGGGACATTAAATGCCTTCCACTAGCATCCAGAACTCTAGTAAGCACCTATCCCATGCAATGGTTACTAAAGTAAGGTATCTGGAGTGAACAATATCGATACCTACTAATTACTGAGCACCTGTTGATACAGAACACTAGACTAAACCATTCCCATAGCAACTCAGGGCGCAGTACTGTCACTTGCATTTTTCACCTGTGAAAGGAGGTTATAGGAAATTAAAGATTAACTAAAGATCCCCCTAATGCAGCAGGAAAGTTGGGAATGAACCCAGGTCAGAGTGGCCACAAAGCTGTGGCCTGTAGATGAGCTAGCCTGTTGAGGTGCTAGCCTGTTGATGAGCTATGCCCAGGAATTTTATCTTCCTTATTAATGGTCAAGATCAGTAAGGCTATTGGTCTTATTACTCTTACTGCAGAATATTTATAAAAGTAGGACAATTCTATTAAACACAATTGTATAAACATGTTGATGATTGCCTCCCCAATGAACACATAGTAACATTTTGTCATAAATTAAGAAATATTACTAATAAAGCACTACTTTTCCCTCCTAGTCCTATTTATCCTTTTACTAAAGATGTTCGAACCATGTTAGGAACTTATACGGATTTGATTCATGTGATTAAACACTTAGTACATATATGATAATGCATAATGTTGCCTTTCAAAGGTTCAAACTTCAAATCAGTGCTCTCATGGTTATTGCAGTGATTCAGCAGCTTATTCACTGACACCATGCCTTGTGTTCCCTGTGGGTTGATGCCTAATTATCTATGTCACATTTTTGATTTTTATTGATAGGGTTCCATGCAATGATACACAGTAATTTTCATTCCTCTCCTAAAAGACTTTAGTTTCATTAGTGTTTTGCTGTAATAATCCATGCCCCCCGGGCATCTGTGTTCCCAACTTGTTCATGTAGGCATGGCTTTTTCTATATTATTTATATACAAATTTTAAAGAGAAAAAAAGAAAACAAAAACAAGAGACATAAAAACAAAAACAAAAAAACATAAAAACATAAAAACAAAAAAAAAAGACATAAAAACTCAAAACAACAACAATATACATTTTCAAAACAAGATGATAGGAATTTAACAATGGTTATAATATTACATATTGTTATCTTCAGAGTTGCTTAGATTACCAGATACAGACATGCAAATTGATCTACACATATGAGTATTAACTGTCCTTTTCCAAGAACTAATAGAATTAGTAGTATACTCATTTTAGCTATTTTACATACATAAACAAATTTATCTTTTTCCTTTTCCCTCCCTTTCCTCCTTTCCCCTATCCTAGTTATTTTTCCCCTTTGAGCAGTTTCTTACCCTTTCACAGCATCTACTATAGATTTTGGATCTTGTTTACTCTTTAAGTTTCTTACACTAGAGAGATAATATGGTATTTACGTATGTGACTTTATTTCACTTATGAGTATGGTCTCAAGTCGTATCCATTTAATTATAAAAGCCTCAATGCAGTACTTCTTTATAGCTGAATAATAATTATATAAAAATACCATGCTTTATCCATGCCTCGTTGGTGGACTTTTGGATTGTTTCCAAGATTTGGCTCTTATAAATTGTGCTGCTATAAACATGGGTCATATAAATCACTGTAGTATGATGTTTTCAGTTCTTCGGGGAAAATGCCAAGAAGCAGGATAGCTGGATCAAAGGGGACCTCTAAATCCTAGTTTTTTGAGGAACCTTCACACTGATTTCCACAGTGATTGCACCATCCTATACTCCCACCAACGGTGGAGAAGCATTCCTTTTTCCCCACAGCCCCTCCAGCATTTGTTAGTGGTTGATTTCTTGATCTTGG